TTTCAGAGCACCGTGTGTACACATATAGTTGTCTTGAACACAAAAAGCTACGATAAAATACTTGAGAAGAATGTGTATGATAAAAATATAATAAACGTTTCCTCCGGTCCTATGAAATAAGCTAAATCCTATTTATTCATTACAGAAAACGGAGAGAATACACCAAAACACAGTACAGAATAGTTGTTCTTCCAACGAATCCATTTAACGAAATTCGTCAATTTTTTAAAGAAGCGCCACTGTCTCCGGTTGTTTGAATTCGTATTACGTCAACGATTCTACTCACAAGAAAGGTTTTGTTTTTTTTCGTTTTCAATTTTCGAATGATGTTGGATTGTTTATGATCTAATTTGCGTCACAACGGTGGATTATTTCACAACGTTATCGAGTACGATGAACGCTCCTTAAAAATACTGTAGATGTTATTTTACTGTCGGTGAGAAAATTACCATTATTTTGATTCGTAACCAGCAGGTAATAACCATTACTGAACATTTACTCTCCCGTAATCCTGGACACGCTGATCGCCAGTGAAATTCTAAACAATGATATGAAAGCCGGAGAACGCGAAAATGAGGTAAAATGGAAAGTTTTCGCTGCTGAAAATTGCTTGAAAGGGGTAATTTCGACTAACAACCATGCGGCGAGCGTCAATTTTGCTTTTCAATGAAACACCACTTTGCTAAGCGAGCTACCCAGTGCACGGTAACATGATCATAATCGTTAGAAGTACTATTCTATCCGGTACGCTGATCCTGTCGCGTTATAATGCACTCCTTCATACAGATCTTGCACAATAAGTCCCCCTCAGAAATTTATATACAAAAAATCTTATAATATCATAAATAGCTATTTATATGTCTAATCTATTGTCATACGCTGGAGCTGGTCGAAATGCAGACTGTCCATGAAAGACTGCTCTCAACGAGGGCTTTGTTAATGGTAAAATTACCTTTGCAAAATGAACACTCACTGAACAAAGGGTTATTAAACAGGAATGAAAAAAATACTAATATTAACAGTGGCACAATAATAGATAATTCTACTGATTGTCGTTAAATTAATTTGAATGATTTACATTCTAATTATCACCAATTTTGATAAAAAATTTTAACTACTGAAGCCTACAGTGCGTGTTTACAGTACAATGTGTTGTCATGGCGAAGAGTGACGTCATCAGTACCACTCGGATTGAGGGAAGTTTTGATAACGTTCTGATTCAAATACAAATCTGCAAATTACATAAGAGACAATAAATCCTAGTACCCAAAATTATGAGTATTTTTGTGAGAAAACGTGATTAAACCGAAAATGTAGTATTGTTGAATTTATGTGGAGACTCTCTACCAAACGATACGATCCGATATGATTAGGTAGCATCCGGGAAAATTATTTTACTTATATCATTGTTGAGCATTACATTATAGGTGTTGAAATTCTCCCCGTGCGTAGTGTAACAAGTAACTCGCATTTCTGTTTTTTAGGTTTTGTAGGATTCGACGATCTCGTATATATGGGTATGGTACAAATCGATTTGCCTCATATTATTTATATATTTATGGCGATTCTAAATTATACATCCTACATCGGACGGGGGCTTATATACATATATATACCGATGACCCTATATGCAAATACGCACGTGAGTTTTATTAACATACGTAGTCGCCACTAACACTATCAACTACACCATCAAAAAATTATCGCTCGGACGACAATATCATGACAATAAATGTACCGAGCTAGGCTAGGGGGTGTGCTAACATTTGCATCAAATCCCTGTCCGCCCTTTAACATATTGTTGGTTATTTAAAAAAAATGAAAATCCCTCCCAGCGTTGAGAGATAGGAACGAGGCTATGGTGTAACCTTCACAAATTCAGATTTCCTGGACCGTTTTGTATTCGATTGGGTATGGCAGTTTTAGTTATTTACGTACAATGTATTTGATATGTGACGAAGCCAGTATTCAAATCAGCCAAATCGCCTGATATCACTCATCAATAGTTTTCTTGGCAAAAGTTTGTTTCAACCTCTTGCGCATTCATATGTATTTTATATTATTTCTGTATCAATTTTGGACTAAATAAATATAATTAATGAGTATGAAATAAACAGGCAAAAATACGGGGTTGTACTGTAAAAAGTGGCAAAAGGTAACTTCGGCATCCTAGTTTGCGCCGGCGTACATGACGGAGAGTATGTACTCAACGCCGTTCCAAGAAGGTATGGAAACAAAAGTGCCTGGATCTTCATCGAAAATCTACATCGAAATAAAGAAAAAGTATTGGACATATTTACTTCATTTTAAACGCATAACACAATAAAGTACGCGTTTTCGCTTGTCACGTGACATCAACTAAATTCAAAGTGAATACGTTGGCAACATTAAAACAACATATCTTTTTGTATTTGGTTCTTTGGTTACGTGAGTGAGCATTTTCGGGGCGGGAAAAAAAACGTTTGATTAAAAAACAAATATTTCGCCTGAGCCACTGTTGCGTGACGTCATAGAAAATCTGACCTTTGCACATGCTGTATTGTCTGTGTGTCTGCTGGGGAACACGGGCCATATGTTAAAACATATTAACATATTTTCAAAGACAAAACTTTATTTAGGACATGAGAACCTTTGCACCACCGCTTAAATATTGTCAATGTGAGAAAGAATTTTTGTTTTGACAATTTGGTTTCCAT